TAAATTACGATAATAGCACTATAAAAATACAGTAAAATACTGGGAGCAGTTAATTTTTTTAAAAGGATAATTGGTTGTGTGTGTGTGTTAATTCTGTTATTGCTATAAATGTCTTTGGGGCTTTTTACAGGACTGAACCAAACAGTCATCAGGTCACTGTGGTCCTATCAAATCGTTACATTCATCATGTGTTGCTCCTGCCAGGCTTTTGGCCCCTTTACCTCCAATCATGTTTCTGAGCCTTTGAAGCTCCTCTTCCTATTTAATTGGCGTCTCCACGAGTCCAATAAATCGTCTAATTGATACCGAGCCTCTTGCAACGGGATTAACAACGCCCATGACTGAGCACAGGGTTTATGGAGGAAGTGGAGCAGTAAACTGTAAAGTGATGCATCTGAGAGGGAATGAAGAGGTTGTGATGTCTGGTCGTAAAAGATTTTCATGCCACATGTTGACATCGGGTTGTGATGAAAGGGTGAGAGGAGCTCTAGACTTTTGAAGGACAATGCTAAGTGCTTCACACATGTGAGACAAATTAAAGGAAAAATCAACGTGAGGTATGCTGATGGGTGTTGGGCCACCTTGTGCCACTGTGGGGGTCAAAGGTCAGGATTTTCTTTTATCTGGATTTGATCCATCAGTAGCAGATATTTTGCATTAATCTTTAAACTTGATTGACATAAACATCCAAAAAAATGTAGTTTTCACTGCTGTGGATTCAAATACTCTCCAATGAAATCCACACAAAAAGCATTTTTGTGAGTATACACCTGTCAAACTAACCCCCTAATTATTGATTTTTATTACAAACTATTCAATATAATTAAAATTAGTCTGTATAATGGAGGAAACTAGGAAATTGTCCCTCACAATTTCCGTATCTCCAAATTGATGTCTTCATTTTGCCTATTTTGTTCAAAAAGTGTCCAAAACTGACAGACTTGTGTTGTTGCAGCAGGAATTCAAACAAAAAGAGTTGCATTTTAGTTGGTGGAAATGTTCAATATTTGGCACGTGCATGTGAAAAATCACTTTGAATAGATCACCAGTGGACTAACTAATTAATTATCGACTAAAGATTTCAGCCAGCTCGCCACAGTAATGTAAACACAATTTGTTTGCTACTCACGGACGATGCGGTTTCTCTCGTTGAGCTGGGAGGTGTTGCGAAGGCCACCGTGGGGATGGAGGTGTGCAAGGCGTGCCAGCCCCAGACGGGTGTGAGTGTGGGTGAGGGGGAGGGCGATGCTGTGCGAGCGAGCCTCTGGGACCGGAGGCCTCCCTTTGGCGTCGGGATCCACCGGGTCCGGCGTCTGAGGGGAGCTGTCCATCCTGGTGGCCGTCAGGGCGTTCTGGTAGTGGTTCCTGGTGATCTGTGGGCACCGAGGAAACAAGTGTCATCATCGGTGTGCACGCATGGCTGCCCCGGTGCACGTGGACAGGAGGGAGCATGGAGAAGAAAAGCAGGGGGAGAGGTGAAGCGAGACGGCGCATTCATCATTTAAGGCGAAAATATTCATGGTTGAAATGGAGCTCAATTATCCCTGGTGATTAAAGGAAAGAGGGCGTATGGAGGGAGAGTGAGAGACAGGATGTCTGTGTTCAGTCAGAATCAGGGATTAGGACATATCAAAGGCAAACGCAGCAGCAGAGGAAGAGGGTGCATTTTGGGGAAAATTCTGAAGATTAAATGGAAGGAGCTTAAAAGTGCAGTTTCTCGGTACCAATTTTTTCCTTCAGTGCACAGGAAATTAGAGATTTAATTGAGTTTATAATAGCAGCGTTTCTGGGTTGTGTGTGAGGAGGCATTTATGCTTGTAACCTTGATGATCTGCAGGTCTGTGAGCTGCCGGACTGAGTAGTCTGGTAAATAGACGCCTCCTCCAGCAGTGAGCTGCCCCACGCTGCCTCCGCTCAGTAATGAGTCTGACTGGTTCAGACCGCTGCCCCGGGAGCTGTACCTCTGACCTGAACACAGCACAAAGAGAAACTTTTATTTATTTTTCCTTCCAATATTGCACATATACTTCATTTTCATTGGGTCAAAAACTATCGTCAGAAAGTGCAAAAATGAGCTCACACAGCCAAATCAAAATGATCTCTGTCCTTTACCTCCCCAACCTGCTAATTATCAGTAATTAAGGGAAACAGTCTTGAATTGTATTCTGAGTGATTTACTTATTTCTGAGTAACATGTAAGTAAATCAAAATCCAACAAGCTCTCCACCAGATCAGCAGGCTTCATTCATTTTGAGAAATTTTCATTGTGGCTAACAATAGTCTTTACTCGACTGTGTACATGTGTTAGAAAGCATTTTTCAGTTCATGAAATGAGCATCGTCATGTTTCCAAAACCATTTAAACCACTAAGACATGTGTCGATGGATGGTTAAGAGTATATAAAGTGATGGACACACTTAGCAGATGAACTTGTTGCAAACATTTACAAACGAAGTCATATTTTAACACAAAGAGTTCCTCAAGAAACCTGCTTTTACATTTTCTTTAATCTAACTTCACTCTTTGACATACTTTTGTGGAAACGGTTTGATGAATTCTCTTGCTTTGTGTTCCATTAGGAAAAAACCCTTGACCTTTGAGACCAATGTCACAAACTGGACTCTCTGCAGGAAGTTAAAGTGTGAGTACATGTCACCTCCAAGCATCTCTTCCAATAAGTACATGAATTCATTAAGTATAATAGGAAACAGTTCAGTCTGTCTCTCCAGCCTCCAAAGTGGAATCCTAAAATGTAAAATATGCCCATATTAAAAAAAAAAAAAAAAAAAAAAAAAAAAAAATATATATATATATATATATATTTAGTTATATTTGCAAAACCACTTTGAAACTCCCAAACTCTGTTGTTTTTAGATTAAGCCTTCTGGCATTGTTTTAGTAGTACAACTTGTCATACCTGCTCCATTAGTTATGAAAGTTCTACAGAAATAACTGCTTTCATTCTTGTGATCAATTATTTCATAGTAGGGTTATTAGTTAACATGTTTAAAGACGGGACTTTTCATGGCACCTTCATTTTCTAAATATTTTAACTGACCCACAATCAGAGACTATTTGGTCGACTTATCTAATATCACAGATTCTGAATCAATGGCAAGATGAGAAACAACAACGAACATTTCCGGCTTTCTTTTTGAATATTTTGAGATATTGTGGTATTATAGTTTAACAGAAAAAAAAAGTTATCTCATAAACTATTTGATATTTGATAACATTTCACAAACATATTCGTAAATAAATATCCAGAATTCATGCTGGGAAGAAAAAAAATCAGAGATAGTCAAGCACAAGTTTTTCTAAAATGTTCAACAAGGAAGTTCAGCAGCAACCACAGATCTCCATGAGATAGAAGTTTATCCAGGTCCTGTTCATTCACCTTTATTTTGCATGGTTTCAAGCTGAGCACTGCCTTAATAAACGACAGTAAATGCCATTCCACTGTAAAGCGACGTCTCCAAAAAACATTCAAAAAACTGCTCTTTTGAGATGTGATACTTTTGCGGCCGCTTAAGAGAAAACTCTTAATTCTGTAATGTCCTAAGAAGGGATTTTCAAATATTTAATGGGGTCTCCGGAATGGCTTTAAGCTCATCCTGAACGCCGCACATACCAAATGTGCACACAAACCACCGCAAGAAATGAGAGAGTAAGAGACAGGCTTTCTGCTTGCTCTGCAGTCTTAGCTGGATTTCATATAATCCTGTGCAGGTCATGTCCTTCCACTGGGAAATTCTCTCAAATCACTTCTTTTAATTACTTACTTCCCACGACTGCTGCTGCTGCTGTGGCTGCTGCTGCTCTTTGCAAACGGACGCTATGTACAGACACCGGGTGGCATTCGGACAGGAACAACACTAGCACCCCTGTTGCATTTCATCATTGTAATCGCTGTAAACTCCATTGATTCCTCCAGAACTACTCACATGCATCGCTTCATGTGTGCACTGACTTACCAATAGGCAGGGGTGGAATGAGCGCTGGCATGCCGTAATAGGAAAACGCTCCGTTTTCGAACCGAAGGGCCTCCTTTCCTATCTCTACCTCCACCCGTCCCTGCAACATTACCAGCCAGATTAACAATGTGAACAGTTGTGTGATTACTCATCTAATGGAGCCTCCCACACAGCAATTATGCAGAAAAAAACACACTGTCATAATAATATCAAGCACAGAAGTAGTTGTCACAATGCATCTTTAACAGCCCTTTTATTTGAGTTTACCTGCAGGATCAGGATGAAGTAGTCAACAGGCTTGTTTCTCTGGAAGAGGTAGTGTTGAGGAGCGTGTTTGTTCTTGGGGTTGAACTTGAGTTCCTGCACGACGCTGGGATGTTTGATGAGACGCAGCAGAATCTTTTCTGACAGGTGACACGGCCTAAAAGGCTCCACCTCTGCGAGAGCGATTCGTGTAGACACATGTAACGCACAAGAAAACAATGTAAAAGAGGGTCAAAGAAAGAACACAGTGCTCCCTCATCACATGTCCTGACCCTGAATTTATCCAAGAATCCGCCTAAATGTTCTGCATGCTAGACACGTGTGAACGCTACCTGTTGCCAAGAAGCGATGCGTCGCCAGCAGCAGCTGGGGCGAGATCTTCACCTTCAGCTCATTTTCTGCCAATTTGAAGATAGAGAAGTCCTGCTGTTTCCGTTCATGGTTGGACACTCGCCTTTTGTTCCGGTTATCGGCTGTGAACAAACACAAATCACATGAAGTGCATAGACGACAGCGCAGACTTAACAGATCGCACATGCTCTGATACAAGCCGAGGGAGGGAAAGCACAAACTTCTCACTGATTGAATTTGCCTCGCTAGATGTGCTACACGAGTACAGCAATTTTGTTTGCTGTGCAGAGAATTAGCAACTATTTCGATGTGCCACTGACCTAATTAGCCGGTGCAGCTGCTGTATATGCTGCATGCTTAGTATATGAAACTACAGCTGCACATAGCCTGAGCTTATTCTGTGCTGTCAGCAGACCTCTGATTGATAAAATGGACTTATCTGCTGCAGATGCGAGGAGTATTAACTATATTATATTCCATTAAATACATCACAGCGGCAGCAGGAACAGCTGGTGCTACAAAGGCCTCAAGTGCAAAGTCTGGAGAGATTAGCTCCCCTGTGCTATATTTATACACATGCATAATTATGCAGCTACACACACACACACACAGAAAAAAAAGAGTTTGTGAACACCAACACAAATGCACCAGTGACAGAGACTCTTTCAGACACTCTGCATGCAATTAAAATTGCAGCACACTTCAAAATTTGATGTTCATGGCCTCTGGGAGCAGCAGTGTTTGTGGAAACACTCAGTAGAACATTTTACGTTAATCGTGGCAGGGAAATAGTCAAATTCAGCGAGTGAAGAGACAGTACAAACCAGATTAGATATGGAACTGAGGGAGTTGGGCATTTGAATGCCTCTCTATCGAGAGCCTTTCCAGCCAATTAAAAATGAGCGGATTATGGTGATTATCTGTGCGACCGGGTCATTTATTTCCATTATTTAATTATGCATCAGGAAGGAGCTGGGAACAACAGGGGAGGGAAGGCTTGAATCAATAGTGTAACGGCAAAACAGGAGCGGAGAGGTGGCAGAGAAAGGAAATTATAATGTCCTGTTCGTACTCCAATTGTACTTGCAACATCCCTAATTATTGATATGTAAATAGATGCTGTTCATCAGAGCATTTTCCACTAACGATGTGGACACAGCTGAACAAACTCTGTCTGCTGCTGCTGTAACAATTGGAGAGAAAATCTATTCAGCATGGGAGCTGGAAATAATGACAAAAAAGAAATTGATTCACAGCTAATGCAGCAGTGATTTTGAAAACCCGGGACTTGATAATGGCTGTGCTTATACGTACTGTACAGGTCTGTCTCATCCACGATCTCAGACTTGATGATCTCCTCTATGACGTCCTCCAGGGTGACGATGCCCATCACTTCGTAGAAGGGGTCTCCTTCGCCTTCGCTGTTCACCCTCTGCACCACGGCCAGGTGGGACTTACCTGCGGTCGGCGGTAAAGAAAAAAAACGGTCAGTCGAATTGTTTTTTTTTCGAAATGTGAGCTCAAGCCAAAAAAGTGTGCATACAAAGGCTTGAGAGACAACGTCAGCGGATAAAAATAACTCGAGTCAACAGCCTCCAACTGGATCTGTGCAGTCAAGATGAAAATCAGCATTAACACACCAACTGGAGCTGGGAGGCCGTGAAAGCAGGAATTTGATATTATTTCAAAGTCAGGATTACCCTCGTGTGTTTTCTGTGTGTGTGTGTGTGAGAGTCAGACGAGAAGAAAGTGGACATTTGGGGGGATTAGACTGGAGACACTTTGACAGTTTGCAAGACTTGGGCCTTACGTAAACACTGAGATTATGCAATCAGTCTGGGGATGCCTGCATCTGCTGAATAAACTGCCCATGCTGCTGCCACCTCTGTAAACACACACACTAAACATCACACACACACTTTACACATCCATGAGCAAACCGCTCCCACTCAGAGCTCCCACTCACTAACTGTTTAGCCGAACACGACAAGCCTGCCAGATACAATGACAGAGCTCGCCAGCAGCATCTCTGCAGCGAGTCCACAAAGCGAATGTGACAAGAAATCACAAGGAGAGGGAGGACCGTGAACTCCTGATGTTTCACTGGGTTTTTTTTTTTCAATTTTAACATAAAACACTGACATTTTCAAAAATCTGCTGCTACGCTTCAAGTATTTAATATCAACGTTGGCCTTGTTATTGTAATTTATTTGCTTTGCTTACGTCAATGCATGACACAGTTTGGTGACCGGATAAGTTATCTAACCGAAATTTATGATGTCACTAGAACACAGATTTCGACATAAACAGTCTCCAGCCTTACTTTGAGCGAAATCTGTGGCTCATATGAGATGGGCCGATTTAGGGGATCACTGCCAGGGGATAAAATGGATCAAACGCTTTAATCCACTGCGACAAGACGAGAGAGAGAGAAAAAAAAAAAAAATGCTGATTGACTGACATGCAGCCATCTCCAATAGCTGTGTGAGATTGGCCGAGATGGCGAGGTCGCTCTCAGGGCTCAGGTCCACTTGTCTGAAGAACTCAGGTGAGTCAGACGTGGATTCGCCCTCAGCTGCTGATGTTGCCCGGGAACTGCATTACATCATTCATATGTTACATAATACTCTTGCAGAACGACACACACTTACCAGACACGCAGACACACACGCCCGAGGCAAAACTGGGTCCTCCACGGTTGTCCCTTTTGCAAATGTTTCTGTTCTACCAGTTTCCCACGCTGCTGCCGTCTATGTTTAAAAAATTCATGTGTTGTTTCAGATTGTGCATCTGTTTGTATGTAATTTTTCTTTCTGTTTTCTGACAAAATTACTTTCAGATAACTTTGGCATCACAAAAAAATACTGTAAAAGAACAGGATTGAACCATCTCATAAATGATGATATAATTTTTTTAATATATATTTATGGTACATTTTGGATTTTCCTCTAATTTTAGATCATTAGTTCGATCATTTGTACTTTGAGTTGTGAGTGAATCAAAAAACTACATTTTTGCAATTGACCAAAAGTTATTGACATTATACATTGATGAAAACTAGGGATGCACAATATATCGGTGACCACAACGGTATCGGCCGATATTAGTGTTTTTTCCGATATATCGATATTGGTCTGATGAACAAATTTAGCTGATGTAAAAAAACGATGATTGTCTAACATTAGCGCCTTCGTCTCTACATTTGATATTGCTGCTATTTCACAGATGTTTTTACTTAAATGGTCCTGGACTTGATTGGTAAATATGTTAAAATATGGTTTACTTTTGTTACGTAATAAAGAAGACTATGTGGTCTAATTTGTTACGGGCTTCTTTTGAATAGTTTTCTCACAGTGCTAACTTATACTCATTTTTTGGTGTGAACAAAAACTGAATATCGACATCGGTAGTATCGTTTATTGGTGATATCAGACATCTTGATATCGTGTATCCGTATCGGCCGTAAATTTCAATATTGTGCATCACTAACAAAAACACATTTCTGTTGGAAAATTTTCAGTAATTATACAAGATATCTCTCATTTATCTAATAATTCATTTCACAAATTAATTGTATTTAACTCTATGAATTGAATTTAAATTGATCAGTTTTATCTTTTGAATAAAAAGTAAATATCTGAGAAATCATGATAAATGTGTGAAGGTATTTTAAGTCTTTATAAGAGAGAAAAATTCAAATTTTCATTTAAAAAAATGACATTTTATGGTTATTAACAGTCGCGGGTTTTTAATGCTATTTTACACATTAAATATGTAAATTCAAACTTTGTTTTTGTAATTGCATTAATATTTTTGGTTTATTTCAAAAATACAGAAAAAATCGGTAAAATTACAGATTCTTTTTTAAAAATTTTACAGTGTATAGAAGGATTCATTTGTTATGCGTCTGCAGCAAATATTTTCCACCCAGTTTAACATACATGCACATATAACAACTTTGGTTTGAACTATTATTATATTACATTACCTGTTTAATGTGATCTAAGATGTAAGATTGTTGAGTTAAGATTGTGCATCCAGTAGTAAAAGTAAAGCAATACTTGTACTAATAACTATACTTAAGTACAGTTTTGAGGTACTTACACAACAATACAGGGAGAAATATTTTAATGTATTACTTCCATAGTTGTTCTTTAGATGATTTTACCGACAAGAGATTAATACGTTTATGTAATATTAAGTATATTTGCCTCAAACAAGCTATCCAGCATTATGATGCAGTTAAAAGATGTCCACCAACACCACAATCAAAGCTTCATTTTATACACAATGATGCATTAATACCAATGATCCAGCCACATAATAATACTGTCAGAGGCTATTCTGCAAAATTTTAAAGCTTTAAGTACATTTTGTTGCTGATACATATTTAATCTTTATTCACTTACATTTAGAGGGCTGTGTTTTACTTGTGTGACAGTGTTGTTTTTTTGTTGTGGGGTCTTGCTATTTTTACTTAAGAAAATTCCTTTCTTGTCTAAGCTAAATAAAATCAAATATTTACAGCAGTTTTCACATTGCTGATAAAATTTTCATGCAATGAAAGCCTAAATGCAGAAAGAGTATATATATCACGTAATTTGATGTTTGTGCAACAGTCCAGAAAGAACATATTTGTACAGTTCTACAACTTTTGTGCTTCAGGCTCGATGCTTCTGAACATTCAGTTTTTGTGCCAAGTCTCAGAAGTAACTGTGCACGATACATAGCACAACACAGTTACACTGAGTGTGCAGCTCAATCAGACAGAGGTCAGGTGATTTATTTAGCCAGGATATTCCACCTCTTCACCCTGAGAAGCTCTTTGATTGCTTTGGCTGCATATTTGCAATCGTTGTCCTGCAGAATGATGAATTATTGATGCATGCGGATGAATGTCCACATACAGAATTCTCCTGTGTGTCTCTGTATTCATCATTTTGCTTGTGTCAGCAGTGAAGCCATCAATAAAAGCCAGTGTGCCGGTTTCACTGGCAGCCGTACATGTCTGAGATGTAACAGAAGCAGCACCATGTTTCACAGATGAGGTGCTGCGCTTTGAGTCATCAGTTGTTCCTTTTTCTTCTCCACACTTTCCCTTTTCTATTTTGATAGTGGCAGATTTTTATGTTATCAGTCCACAGACATTCATTACACAACTCTTTTTTTTTTTAAAATTTATACCATGGACTTTCTGTTTTTGTGGCTGACCACAATGTAGCATCTTGTGTTGAATTGTCTGAGATTTCGATCATGAAGTCTGATGAAGAAACATGTAGCCTGCATCCTGGAGAACATTCTTGACTTGCTGTGCAGTCTTAAAGGCGGTTTTCTTCACCAGGCAAATGATCGAGTCAACCAACTTGCCTTTTTAAGATTTTCTGCTTGTTTAAAAGAATAACTGGTCGTCTTGTCAAATCTATGGAAGCATTTGGGACGACAAAATAAGCCTCATGTGTTGTTGGAGTTTAACATGAGGAAGACACATAAGCAACCTGCAACGACTTGTAACGATAATGTATGGACCTCCTTCGAATGAGTCACCATTTTGGCATTTCAAAATCGCAAAAAAAACGGGATATTGACTTATTTTACTCGTCACACATCACATTCTACTGATATTAGAGGCCTCAACAGTTGGTAAAATGTCAACCAAAGACTGTCTTTTAGTAAAAAAAATATGAACGTGCAACCGCAATAGTGTTGTCATATGAACATTTGTCATTTTTCCATTTTCAAGGGCCAATAATTAAAAGGTCGGCCTCTAATAAATCTTTTCAATCATTTAGATCTGCTGGACACTGTTTTTTTTGTGTCCTCACCAAATTTAATGGCTGTGGGAGGTATAGTGCTGGAGATATTGGACCCTTAAAATGGCCTTCCAGACATTTTTTGGGGTCTGAAAACATAAGAAGTCTCCAAATCCAGCCAAAAATGTTTTACAGAACTTAGTTTTGGGTCCTAAATAATGAATAGGTAAAGTAAGAGCTAAATCTGAGATGGTGCAGCAACATGTTTTGGTAGTTCTGTCTGATTTGACATAGATTTACCCCGATGTAAACATTCCTAAGTTAAAGCTGGAACTGCAGTATTCATTTATTTCTAACTCAACGTGTCGAAGAACTGAAACACAAACAGTATTAACTGTCCAACTGTCTTTCCATCTGGGCTGTTTTCCACTGCATGGCATTTTTACGGTTTGCAGTCCTCCTTTACATTTCTTGGTGACATATTCATTCTTTCCTCTAACCTTAAGTCCATCACCCTTCTCAGTGAGACATCATCACAGCTTCCAGCCAGGCTTCCTGAACAGCAGGAGCCCTTAGTTCATGAGAGCAAAGTAGGAAGGAGGCGAGAGGGGAAGGGAAAGGTTGGAACTGAATTTTTCATGGTCGCTCTGCAGGCTTGGATGGCGACGACCCACAGAGAGGAAAGAACTTCAAAGTCACCGTGGGCTGACAATTAAGTGCTCACAAACAATGTAAAGGTGAAACCTTGACTTCACCTTTCCACCTTATTTATAAACAACACAATTTAGAAACACTGTGGAAATCACAGGTCAGAGGTCAGCGCACGGATCAGTTGTGCCTCACCAAAGCTGTTTGTCATAATTCTGCACAAGATGAAACAAAACCCTCTGACCTGTAAGTGGCATTTTAATTCATGACCTTGCCAAAGCCAGCAGCTGCCTCCCACTGACATCTACTGAGCTCTCTTTGTCAATGAAACAGATTTACATCTTAATCCCCACAACATGAACCAAAGTCAATGAAATCTTTACATAACAGCTGTGCCAGCAGCCTCTCATATGTCTCTTTTTCACCGGAGCAGTCTGAACTGTTTGCTCCAGAACATTGATTCTGAATCATATTAAGTGTTATCATCAGCACTGAATGGGCTCCCCGAGGGAGAGGCGACACACTTTTGCTCGAGAGTGAACAGATGCTATCGCTGCATGTTTGTGAGCGGTGGAGTGCTGTAATACTGTCAATTTACTTATCAGCAAAAATGGTTATCAGACAGGAGGTGTGTGCATCAGAAAGAAAGAGAGAGAGAGAGGGTGGTTACACAGATCCCATCTGCTGCCATTAGAGTGAAGGAAAAATCCGGCAAAACTCCTTTTCAATATGACACTACAGTGTGGAGTTGATAAATGTGAAACTTGTAGAAAGGGGAACATTGGGGGTAGAGTTCAGACGAAGCTCACAGTGTTGTCATGGGAAAATGACTTAAATCTCTCTCATCGCATAAATTCTTAAGATAACCCTGTTCTGATCCTTGGTAGCCTCTAACCTCTGCTTGAACCAAACTCACTGTGTGACACAGTATCAGATTCCACATATGGCTCTTACTGCTCTTGGGATCAAAGAGCTTTACTGGCAGGCCCACTGAGCCAATGGGTTGATATGTACACTGACTTCTGCTCTGAAAATGTAGTTTTTAAGTGCACATTCACTTCAAAGCACATTTGGCTTCTATGTGGAAGGAGGTTATCTTAAGATTGTTGCAAACATATGGCGCCTGACAGATTCAACAGTGACTTCTTACCCAGAAGTCAGTCACATGCAGAAACAAGGGACACACGGGAAGATGTGCAGTTACCTCTCTTGAATTCCTCCAGCATCACATCCAGCTTGGTGTCACTGAAGACGCAGTGCATGGGATGCTTGTAAAACTGAGTGATTGTTTTCAGAGGAGTGCAATCGTCGGGATCAACGAAGGCCAAGTCTTTGACGAACAGGATGTCTACGATGTTGGACCTGTCGTTCTCGTAGACCGGGATGCGGGTGAAACCGCTCTGCATCACGTCTGACATGGTGCAGAAGTCCAGCACGGCATCCGATGACAGCATGTAGCAGTCTGACAGCGGGGTCAGCACGTCCTCTACGGTCTTGGTCCTCAGCTCCAGCGCTCCCTGGATAATGTTGAGCTCCTCTTTGACCAAGTCGTGGTAGGGGTCTGTGACGCGCAGCATGGCCACCAGCTTCTCCCTGGTGTAAAAGCTGCTGATCTCCTGGTGCAGCATGATGTCCAGGATCTTGGAGACTGGGTATGCGATGGGGAAAAATATCAACATGAGCAGGCGGGTCGCGCACAGGGTCTTGGAGGCGATGGCGAGGCTGTGCCTGGATGCCACGGAGTGAGGTAAAATCTCGCCAATAAAGAATATCCCCAAAGTGCATGAGGCAGTTGAGAGAGCAGTCATTCCTAAAATCTGGCACATCCACACCACGAAGCAAGTGTTTGTAAGCACGTTGCCCAGCACCACGGTGCAAAGGATGTAATTTCCGTGTTTACGCACAGACTCTATTTTCCGTGCGTATTTCTGTTCCTTCTCCGTTCCACTGTTCTGTAGGACCCGCAGCTCCACGGGGTCCAGAGCCAGCATGCTGATGTTCAGCCCGCTGCAGAGTGCAGACAGCCCCAGCAGCAGCACCGAGACCCCTGCCTGGAGCCAAACATCTGCCTCCGGGGGTCTCTCCACCACCGCCAGCCAGAAGTCTTTGGTGCTGAAATGCTCCCATTTTACTCCATCAAACGCGCACATGGAGTAGTATTTGATCACCTCGTCTCTGCGCAGGTCTTTGGCGAGCAGCTCCACCAAAACTGAGTTGTGACTTGAGGTGGACCTGAAAGAGCCCAGCAGCTCGATGTCAGAGCTCCGGGCATTCTCCTCCTCACACGGGTTCCCTCTGGAGCGCTGCCGCCTCTCGGCATCCCCGCTGTCCTCACCTGGCTCCTCGATGAACGCGATCCACGGAGCGGCAGGTGCCGCGTCCGGTCTGCCGCTGCCGTTCTGGCTGTTGGGATGCTCGGTAGCTGGGGATGCGGAGTAGTAAACCCTCAGCAGGAAGCGGGTCCCCTCGGTGGCTCTCAGTATCCCACCCTGCACGGACAGCTCTCCGCTCTGCGTGTCTTCGGGCCGGACGCCGAGCAGCGCTGCTGTCGGGGCCGGCAGAGAGGAGAGGGTGACGGTGAGGAGCAGGAAGGAGAGCCGGCGCGGATGCAGGATGCAGCAGAGAGCATCCGCAGCATCCGCAGCCATCATGCTGAATGGAGTACTGAAGGACATGGGAGAAGTGGGTCACGTGGTGTGCGGATGGGATGGATGGAGCAGCTGGGTGGTTTGTTACACAGAGAGCGGGAGATGCAGGGAGGGGAGGAGGGGGGAGGCACCTTAAATATAAATGACAAGCCCTGACGTAGGCCTGTCTTATTTGCTTTCTGCCCCTTTCTAAAAATAGAAGGCAGGAAATGCCCAATCATGAATGATTAATGTGATACAGCACTTTAAAAGATCCTCAGGAGGGTGAAGAGTAGACCTGTTCCACCGGAAAATCCAACCAAAGGGGGAAATAGCAAAAAGTAACTAGATAACAGCAAAGCGTGTGTGTTGTCAGCAGCAGCATGTAAATCACAATATTTTAGCTTTCCCTCCTTTTTTCCTGCGTAAAGTCACCACAAGGTGGCAGTCTTATCAGCTGTTTCACTGCAGCCAAGTCCTGAGAGCTCTGCACATGCTGCTTAATGGAATTCAGACTTGAGAAATAGCAGAGTTAACAAGTTAAAATTTATTTTTGTCCTAAGAAATCATTTTTCTTGCAGATTTGGCACCCCCTAAAGATTATAAAACAATAGTTTCGATCTGTCAACACATTTTAGAAGAAACATTTTGATCCTGCAGCTCTAAACTGGGTCACCACATTAAACTTTTATACCCCTTGGAAGGAGCTACAGCCTACTTAAAGATTGGCCCTGTTAATGGGACTTGTATTGATGAATAGTAAATGTTAATAGCTAATAAATAAATAGTAACAACAATCAGTAAATATTGTCTAAACACAGTAAAGCCCTGCAGGAAAACACTGGATACAAACATATAGGCTACATATGTTATTACAGTTTTTATTAATACTACTGCCATGATGGTTGTGATGGTGATTATTACTAATATTATTCTGAATATTTTCATTATATCCAGGTCACTGATCAGCTCCAGTGGAACACAGTAAAGTCCTCGAACATGAGCTCTCTGACTGCAGTCTGTCGGATTTACGAGGCAGAAAGCTGAAGGTGAGAAAACAGAGCTGCCAAGTCTTAAACACTCTCTGCTCTCCATTAGCCACAGACCCACCATAAAAAAAACGAGAAAAAAGAAAAGAAAGAAAAGAAAAAGACTTTGTACACAAGAACAACAACAAAAAAAATATCTGGATTCCGAGGAGTGAAATAGCTCCAAGGATTACAGACTATCACTGTAGCTGATGCTTCGTCAGAAACATCTTGGATAAGTTCCCCATCGGATAAAATCCACACATGTTCCCATGAACTGGTTGCCCAATCAGAAATGTTTCAAATGCAACTTTTAGAACAAATGCCGGAAAATGTGTTCTTTTAAAAAACACTAGACTAACTCTGCACTCTATGTTGCTGACATATGTTGATGGCAGATATGTGGAAGGTAACAAATTCTGAAAGTGGCCAAATAAAATCTGAACAAGGACAGCAGCTCTTTTCCAAACGAAAATCTCTCATGATGCTCTACAGAACATTTCACTGTATTTGTCGACAAACATTTTAAAGGCATCAGTAGTGGCCTATATGTTTTTTATTTTAATTTAATTTTTATTTTTTTAAGTAACCTCTTGAATTAATCGTCTTCTTCAGGCGATCACTTCATTTGAATATTTCCTTGCGCACAGTTTAAGTAATATTTTTACAGTATGCATTTAAAAAAACGTTAAAGGAAAACAAATGATACTAAAAAAAAAAGTTCGACAATAACGACCTGTTGCTTTTTCACATACAGCTGACATTCACATAAAAACACTGTTTCCTTATATACAATTTCTTGTACATTACTGCCCGAATTCTACTTTCAACTGATTAATCGATAAATTAAATGTTGTATTTGTGATTTTTTTTTTCAATGAGCTGGTTAAATAAGACAGTCGATGTAGATGATATTTTCTCTTCGGGATATTTTTTTTTATACGAATACGAAGATTTTTATTCAGTTAAAATGCGCTGCTGGAAGAAATGATTGCCTGAACATATGGGCCGAAAGTTTTACATCCACATCAGGTCTTATCTTGATGTAGGCTATTTTTATCTTCCTGTTTAATGCAGGGGAGTGTGTACAGAGGGGACTGCGCTCTTTCGGTTTGGTTTAAATCTCAAATCTGTCCCATAAAACTACAACAAAAAACTTTTTTTTAAAAAAGAAGAAAAGAAAAAATCTCCAACACTTTTCTATTGCTGTATATCATTAAAGGAGCTCAGGCCTCATAACGCCGGTGTAACATCCAAAGCAAAAAAATAACATCTAAGGGTAAGAAGAGTAATGGCATCTCCTTTTTTAAAATATTAGATTTTTATATTGATATTTTGTTAGGATTAAGTTTCCTTTTACGTTTCTCTGAAATAAACAACCTCGGAGGTGACAGGATGTCCCACAACGCAGTTTAACATTAAAGAGCCAATTGAAGAACTCGTATAAAAAAATCTACAAGTTAAAGAGAATACCTTCCTAATGAAAACAAAAACGTAGTGCTGATGGAAACCACATGTCAGCTATGATGTCTGGCTGTTCCAAAAATGACAACATGAAGAAACACGAGGAGACTTTTCTAATGTATGAATCTGAGTGTGTTACAGGCCCGAGAAGAAGCTGCTGAAGCCTCAGAGTCTGTGCGTAATCTTTGTGCCACAGCAGTGTTCCAGTGATCCAAAGTTGCGCATGAGACTTTTTGATGGACAATTACCAAAATAATTCGTCCTAAGAGAAAGACAGTGGCTGTGACAAAGAAGCGACTGGTTAAATTTGCTCCAGAGGTTCCAGTGGGGAAACTTTTATAGCTGAAATAAGTCTTCACTGGGTGTGTATCCTTTACAAAAGCACAGTCTGTTCGTTTAATGGGAACGTTCGTGCCCAAAGCCTGAAAAGTTAACACCTCGGAAAATGTAGTGTTGTGAGTAGGTGTTGTAGAGCAGGATTAAAGCAAAAACACTGAAAGGGGGATTTTTAGACGGCACATTTTCCTCTCGTTTAGTTTGCTGCTCATCTGTGAGACAGCAGTGACCTTAAACGACCATTTCTCGACACACTGACCGCCCGAGGAGAGTCTGGAGAAATCACGATAGGCTTCAACTTTGTTTGGTTGTGTATGTGTGTGTGTGTGTGTGTGTGTGTGTGTGTTTTCTCCACTCACCAGTGCCCCAAAACATCTGGACTGAAAAGTCATATAAAGAGTTTATAGGTGAGTTCCATGTGTAGGAACTTAAAATCCAAATTGGTTTTGAATGTCTCTGATAAAAAAGGGGCCAAATTATTTATGTCGCCATCTCCGGAAGTCATTTGAGAAATATGCGATCAATCAGTTGTTTGTTTCAACAACTTGAACCTCTAAAATGAAACGAGAATACGCCGTTAACAGCATTGTTCTTTCTTTTGCAACACAACTTGTGTTTTCTTAATGTGCAGCCTGGGGATTCTTGGCCCGAAGATCGTCAGTTTTCTGCTGGAACATTTGATTTACGATGCGCAGTGGGTGATGTACTCCTGAAAATAGGCAATTATTCAAGCTGTGGTCCGAAGTGATTGTTTCTTTGTACGATTTTAATGATATATGATTATATAGATATAGATGTATGAGTTATTTTAATGAGGAGTGGGCCTATGGGCAGTCAGCCTGAGTTTCGGTGAGTTTTACCTGAGTTTTACGCAGCCTTTCTTTGCGTAAATATCATGTTCTAGATTTCTTCTTTTTCATATATTTTTCTTCTTCGCCATGCTGTTCTTTAACTGATCGATAATCTATCCATAAATTGTAGATTCTTATCTTTACAAAGGGGAAAACCAGCGTTATTTATTTATTTTTGATGGCAGAAAGCCTTTTAATCCGCATCATAATAAACACCTCATAACCGTAAATGTGCGCAGCTACTTGTTGATTCTTTCCGCTTCATTGTTTTTTGGATTCAATTTTGGTGTTCTACAAAAATATATATATATTTCTATTGTTTTATTTCAAACACGATTTATGAACAAAAAAATCAATGTGTACTTATTAAGAAAATCTTAAATTCATTATTTCGAAGACTGTGCGTACTCGCCTCTTCAGGGTAAATTGGGAACTTTATGAGCTGGGAAAAACTACTTTTGAGCTGTCTGTGCTCATACCTCAGAGAACCTTAGAGGGGCGGTGCTGCCTCCTCTCCTCCTCCCAGCTTCTGGCTCTCACAGCCGGGAAGGCTGGGTCGGGGCGTGCGCTCTTGCGTGCAGCTCCCAAAAAAATAGAAAAAAAAAATACTCAGAGGGGCGGGGGGCAGAGGGGGTGAGACAGCTAGACAGGAAGACAGATCCAGATCGATGAGACCGAGGTAGAGAACCGCCGTCGAACTTCGCGGCAGCAGAGTTTGTTCAGTCGTTTTTCTTCTTCTTCTTTTCCACCTTTAAGCCTCATTACGCGCACTGATTCTCCTGCTCTCCAAAAAAGCAAGAAGATGCCCAAATCCTCACCGTGCGTATTCCCATGGTCCTCCCTGTGGCTGGCATCTTTGATTACTTTGGTGGTGCAGTCGGTGCTCTCTTCCTCCTACTCGTCTTCTTCTTCTTCCTCTGCGTATCAGAGACCTGCAGCCGGTGATAAGCGGCCGGGCTTCATGGAGAGGACGCTGGTTCTCCTGGATGTCAACACCCGCAGTCCGATCAGAGTCCTCAACGACAACTTTCTGTCTTTGCAGCTGGATCCATCGATTATCAAAGACGGCTGGCTGGACTTCCTGAGGTACCAGAGCTCTTTAACTGCATGCCACCACCATCAGTGTGTCTGTCTGGGTGCCCACCTCTGAAATGTTTGGTGCTGCTTTTACTCGTTACGCACGCAGCCACGTTGTCTGAAGTGTCATGGAGCGATCCAGGACGCTTCTTCCTCTCTCGGGGAAATGAGGAGTCCAACTCACCACAAAGATTTTGATCGATTGAGGGCGGCCAAGTCCAAACCCATCAGATAATTTAATAAGGCGACTCTGAGAATGAACAGTTACTTCAAAGGCTGTTTGTTTTGGGCTCGGTGCTGTCATGGTGAACAGTTTCTCTGTTCTCTCTATTAGGTTCAGACAAAACTTTGCGCCTCTTACTTGTCCATGCAAAATGTGCCTTTTACAAGATAATAAATCCAGTTATGATGATTGTTTCCCCCCCTAATGCTAGCCATGCTGCTTCAATACAAACATATATGTTTGTTTAAATGGAGGGGGATTTTTTTTATTTTTATTTTTTAACTCAGTTTAATTTATTTTTGTGACCTTTTCTCTGAAAAGTCAAACAGAAGCAGAGTGAGAGACTATAATCTAATCTGTTCCAGTGTCATCATGAATTGTGCAGCGTAACATAACGTTCATAACTTGTAACAATAATTTTAATTCAATGATTACATTACATATAAAATCAGAACACTGACAACTTCTTATGCGTTGGATTGGGTTTGAAATTCTCAGGCACTGTTTGGCAGCTCAGTTACATTATTCACCATCAAGTTAGGAGAGCATGCATTACTCTGTGTGTCTCATTCTTCTCTCATAATAAAATAAACCAAAGCCGGTTTATAATTTTCCAAGAGCCAACATGTTTAATAGAATGTTTTTTAATTTTCACTTCCACCACATCACAAAACTCACCATTCCTTCCTGCCATTTCTAACCACTAATACAACTTTGTTCTGGGTTAGTGGGTTTTTTTCCCCCAGTCTTCAGTCTTCCTAATTAAAACATCATAAAAATGTACAATCGTCAGCTAAATTAGGTAATGGTTTAGTTTGGTCCTAAATGAGACGCGGTTTGTACCGTGAGGCCTGCTGGCCGTCACTTTGCTCTATGAAGCTTCAGCCGACTGCCACGTAGGCTGTCGTGAAAAAAAAACATCAGTCCCTTGTGCACTTTTTTCCTCCTAAACACTAAAACTTCATATGTGCCAAATATGAACCTACTTACATATACACTCGCATGTTAATTGCGTATTTTCACTTGCAGAGTGCGCAAAAAGGCCACTTGGTTTTCAGTTTGTGACAGCTGGAAATAAACGCAGCAAACGAGGAAACTCCTCTATTTTATATCCGTGCTGTATCCGTGACTCTTTAGAATGTAGAATAGAAGAACATAATCCTCTGAATATTCTGTGTGTTGTTCTTAATGCGTTCCTCAGGTTGGAGTTTGTACCTGCTGTTGGGATTCTTAATGTTTTTTCCATCCGTGGCAGATAAAGTCTGATTTTTAGGCCTGCAGATTGAGACCCAGTAACTTTACATAAATGAATAAATAAAAAACACATACCTTTTTGTATATTCTCAAGGCTTTTTCTTAAAAACAAAATTTGAATTACAGGTATGGAATAAAGCAAACTGACCGTAAAAGGTGAAACGATTGACGATTGTTGTGCTTCTCCCAAATACGCCCCTGATTACAACACCAATGTGCAGACACAGGAAACACTTTACAAGCTTGTGACTCTGTGGACAGCAGGTTTTTTTTATGTTTTATTTTTTTATGTTGTATGTTTTCAAAGTGTGCGTGTTTTGTGTCTGTGCGCAGCTCCAAGCGGCTGGTGACCCTGGCGCGCGGCCTGTCGCCTGCGTTTCTGCGCTTCGGTGGAAAAAGAACCGACTTCCTGCAGTTCAACAACCAGAAGAACCTCGCCAAGTTCAGAGGACCAGGGCCCGACTACTACCTGAAGAACTACGAGGACGGTGATTAGACATATTCCTCGTTTTCCTCTCGCACCAGTGTGTGTTTCCCGCTCTGTGGACACTCAGATGAAAGTGTAGCGCAGAAATAATCTTCCTCTCAAGGTTTATTGCACACAGCGACAGTTTCTTTGTAAGTGGAACAAACTGCCAGTTTATTAGGGACACCTAAAACCAGTGCGAACCTGTGAAGATGTGCGAGAGAAGTTTTGAGGAAAACCAAAGCGCGTTGAATTGTTCCGTTTCTTTTCCATCCACCACGTCTCCCAGTGTTGGCGCGTCGGCCTTACAGTGAACTGCATACAATATGTTTATCAGTTTTATTTAAAAATTCTGAAAAATAAAAAGCTGCTTTAGAATGGCGGGTTGCTTCTATTGTTTTAGTCTGCCCTGAGTAAATTGCTAAATTGTGCAGAAAACAATTAGAAACTCTTTTAAGTTCTCAACACACTCAAGTCCAAAAGTATAACCTTCAAAATCACCAAAAACTAAATTTATTTTAACATAAAAAAACCTACTTGCATTAGTTTTAGCTAAATGTATCTAATTATAATACCAACTAAGCCTTAACAGCAAATGAAGGATGCTGGAACATTTAATACACATTTGTATTTCTTTGAAGAGCTTATTGTATTTTTTAGTGAAATATATTATAATTAAGATTTCTGTTTGATTCAGTTTGATTTATATAATCAATTTACAAAATAGGTCATCCCAAGGCACCTCACTAGTAAGGTGAAGAGCCCACAACAATCGTATATTATGGACAAAAAACAAACAGTTCCAAAGATTCCCTTTGAACAGCTCTTTTGTGACAGTTTCAAGAGAAACTCACTTTTTACAAGAAGAAACTTCAAGCAGAACCAGGCTCAGGGATGGCAGCCATCTGCCCCGACCGGATGAGGGGAAAGAAAAGGACAGCAGAGGGACAACAGACAAACAACACACAAGACAACATTAAACACTTCAGATTTAGTGTTCTCCTTTTTTAAAAGTAACACATTTGTGTTTAAAAAAAATAAAAAATAGAACCTATAAGGATTCATCATGTAGTCGAGACTTTACTTTCAAATTTTCAAAGCAAAACTTGAGATACTGAAGAAAATGGCATCATAATAAAAAAAAATGATTAAATGACATTCATTTCTTCCATTTGTGCTGACTTGCAGATATAGTGCGCAGCGACATAGCACTGGACAAACAGAATGGCTGCAAGCTGGCCAACCACCCGGACATAATGCTGGAGCTGCAGAGGGAGAAGGCTGCCACCACACAGCTCGTCCTGCTGAAGGAGCAGCTGTCCAACATCTACAGCAACATTACAATAACAGGTAGGAGATCACACACACACACACACATGAACACACACACATGCACACACAACACAGGTCTTTTTCTGGCCCCTACACACATCCTGACATATTGTCTGGACTCTGTGGGTCATGCACATTTGTGCACGTGCACGTGTGCACTCACATAAAAGCATGGCAGTGTAAACCATCAGCTTTCAGAATGACAAATGTAATTTGCAAAGGAGGAATGCAGGGATGGATAGAAGGGTGCAGCAGCAGAGGCAAGTAAACAGAGAACTGACATTTTCACTGGTTACAGTTAACCTGACCGCAGAAGGAACTCCGTAGTCTTGAGTTTTGGGTGGGCTGCATTTCTAATCTGTTATTGTGATTGACTGGAATGGAAATGAGGAGCTGCAGGAGAAGAGTTTAAGTGAGGGATTTGCCTGTTAAATAACTGCGGCGTTTGGAAGCGTTCACCAACCTGGGCTCGGCCAAAAAAAAGACACCATCGGTTAAATACTGTTTGTCTGGTTTTCCAGAGGTTTGATTTCAAAATTAAATTTTGGTTGGTTGAGGTAATAGGGGAAATACTTTGGTGCTCAAAAACTAAAGCAGAGTAAAAAAAAAAAAAAAGTGTCTTTAGCTTTAAATAGTACGAATTTTTGCTGACTGGAATGAGGATCTGCAGGAGAAGAGAGTAAGTGAGGGATTTGCCTGTTAAAACAACTACAGTGTCTGGAATTGTCCACAAACCCGGCGCTTGGCAATGGGTTGCTTTTAAAAACACTGTCAGAAACAATCAGTTAATACTCTTTGTGTGGTTTTACAGAGCTTTGATTTTCAAATTAAATTTAAGTTGGATGGTTGAGGCAACAGGAAAAGCACAGCGGAGCTTTAAAGCCGTAAGAAAGTACAGAAAGCACATTTAGCTTAGTTTGCGGATGTCTGATGAACGCAAACTAGAACAATATCTGGAATGCTGTTCTCAGTCCTCAGCACTCGGTTGCCTTCTCAAACAGAAACACACACTTCTTATCCTCTTTGGTATCTTGAAAAGTCAATGGGTGGGGATTGTTTTTTGGGAAGGCAGGATTTTTATTTCAGAGAACCACCCAGAAAGTGAGCACCGAAAGCCAAGGAGCTTGTGGAAAAGTAATTTTGGACTTTGGAATAGACTTAGCACCCCACACAGAGAGAATACATCAATTTAGTACAACAGAGGAGCCAAAGTCATCCTCACAAAGGCCTCCACTGATTAAAAGCTTGTTGATCCACGGAGATATGAAATATTTGGTGATGTTTTTTGAAAAGTCTTTAATTTAATGAGATAAAACAATGAATCCAAATCTACCTTAAATGATCTCAGTTGCTTTGCCAATATTTCTAGTCATTCCTCACACACAATCACAGCTGGTGACCTCACACGAGTGGGTCTCTTCCATGTTTTCAAAGGGTCCCGCTTCCCTGGAACAAAGCGATCCTCTGTGCGTTGCCGTATGAGTTATAGAGGGAGATATGGGACAGCACGCATCAGCTGCGTATTTTGAAATAGTCTCAAGTGCAAAAGCCAAAACACGCTGTTGTCACATTCGTCAAAGAAGACAAATACCTAGAGGAAGAATGTGAACCTGCTCGCGCGAGGGGTCAGTGCACGGGTTCAAATCAGGAGTCATGCACTGAAGAACCTAATCATTAATTTTTGTCGCGCTGCAGCCGGGCTCGAAAACTCTTTGGCCTCTCGGTCTTTAGTTATATCACCACAGGAACTTAAGTATATTTCATGCAGCCCTGTTCAGATATCTGCATTAGATTATCAATCCTATCTATTTTCGATCAAGCGTGCTGATTGTGGGTCACGTGGTGTTTTACAGAAGGGAATTTCAGAGACATGGCTACGTATTAGTAATGTGGATGTTAATGCCAGACTTATTTTGTTCAGCAGGAGCACTCGTGTGATCCTTGTGCCACCTCCAAGGCTAGTAAATGATAGTATTGAACTGTACAAAAGTCAAGATATGCAGCCCCCTATAATAATAGATATAATAATAACATGACATTGTTTTAAGATATTATTGGAATAGAATAGAATAGAATAGAATAGAATAGAATAGAATAGAATAGAATAGACTTTATTTATCCCAGACCTGGGAAATTTACATGCCACAGCAGCATCCAAAAATATAGAAAGTACAAGAAAATAACAATAATTAAGTAATATGCACCCTGGTGTCCGCATACAGCAGGTCCGAGGCCCCACTGTCTCCGGTTGGGCAGTCCACATACTGGCTGAATGTGGGGAGAGTGGTAGAGAGCGATGTATGATTAAAGTCTCCTAAGATGACGATCAGAGGATGTGATGTTGGGACACTGAACTATGGATGATTATGCATCTGTGCATTGTCATTATAATCTAAATTGTCATCTGTGGGGAAATCTACTGTACACCACAGCCCCTTTCAGACATGCACTCCTTTCTATTTTCCTGATTGATCTGAATGTGTCAGTGTCAATGCGCACCCTGCTTACTGGGTCAGAACCAGTAACATTCACCTTAACACGGCACTGCTGATCCGCATGCAGTCGCTTTGACTGAGAGAAACGAACATGGCTGATGTAGGGAGTTGCGGCATGTTTTTGGGGGGGGACATGAAAGTCTGGGAAGTGGCACTAAAAGCTGGGCCGTAATCCTATCTATTGTTTTGGAGAATGACCTAAGCCTCAACAGCATGAGAGAAAAATTCTCTGCATTCGTCTGGTATGTTGTAGTAAGAAAAGCCAGCGTCCAGTCTCGTGTGAATGCCGAATGTTGTGCACATACCGCGGTTCTGTCTGTCGCTGCGGTGGATCTGTACGAACGGAGCCGTGATAAACATCGACGTGAAAGTGAGCTACGTCTGAGACATAGAATGTTGTCACTTTAACAGATTAATCGAAGCAAAAAAGGCATCTCTAAAAGCCTGTTTGAGGCAACTAACCTCTGTGTCGTACTTGTGCTACAGCGCTAATGTTTTACAAAATTAAGACCACATTTCCCATAAACCCCGCTGCTTCCTGCACAAAGAGGATGTTCCCTCTTGCACATGGAGGCCACCAGAGGCAGCCTGTGATAGTCAAGTAAAAATAAACACTTTGATTATTTACAGAGCTTATTCTACTATTGTACAGACCCCTCAATGCTTTGTATCACAACCGGCTCTGTAGGTGGGAACGAGATGAAATATGGTTTGAAAATATTCGTGCAGGGAAAATTATAGTCAAAATGAATCACGCTGCATTGTTATTTTTCCGCACGGTGGATATTTTCACGTCGTTTTACTGACTGATTGGGACCCTGTGGAGGATTTTGTCTTTTTAAATTGGCTGTGGTGGTTCCTATTAAGGCGTAAAAGTGGAGTTTGGAAACAGACAGCGGCATCATGCTGTTCTTCGAGCAGGTGCGGAGGTGAGGGGCAAAGCCCAGCGAAGGGACTTTATTTACTGGCTGATTTATTGTGAAGTATTCCCACAAAAATACTCATTCCTCCAAGCATAGACACAAGCTGGAGGGCTGCACCTGGAAAATGTTGTCTGTACATCTAAAGAATATTTTTTAAATGACGTTCTTGAAGTTGGAGCTGATGTCTTTTTTTTTTTTTTAAAGTCTTTGTCGGAATTTAACATATAGTACTAGTGGGAGAATAAGTCACCAGAATAAGCAGTGAAAAGCCCCGTTAAGTGTGAACATGTTTGAGCAATGGCCTCATTATTACACAGAGTTAAACTCCAAGCACGTTGTGTAAACTAGAATCTGTGCAAAGGCCTCTCATCTGTGCGGTGGAGAGAAACTGGGGTGCAGAGGCACTGAGGATGTGTTTAAATCTGGTCTGGTAACAATTAGTCAAGATTCACTCTGTGTGTGTGTATGTGTGTGTGCGCGCATGTGTGTGTGTGTGTGTTCAAGCAGGTGGTGTTTAAAGGACTTTTAACAGTCTCGCTCCATCCTTTTCCACTCACCACTGTCTGACCTTTGACCCAGGCTTGTTAGAGCGATCAGTAATGGGGCCACTCTCAGCTAACATGCACACACACACACATCCCACGAGGGAATTCGGTGGAGAAATTACCCCGACCTCAGACAAGGTCACGGCCGAGCGTCATTTCGTGTCTCTCTGCAGGACTGTGCTCCTCCATCAGGGATCCCTTCTTCTTTATTCTCTCTTTAGCACCTCTCCCAAAGTTTTTGTCTCGTGTTTACTGTTGGTTTAGCTTTGTATATTGTGACTTCATGTGAAAGTCTCCATGTTTATTTGACACTTCGGAGAATGAGGCAGTCGATCCGCTCAACTTGTGACCTCAAAGGTCTCATTCGTGTGTTTAAGATTCGAAAGATACACACAACTCAGTTTAGGAATTCTTACACCGGGTTTAGTTGTTCTTGTTGTTCGAGGTTCGGTTGATCAATATTTTCAAACACGGACAAGAAGAAAATCCTCTCAAAACAGAAAAACTGGACAAGCGAAAGTTGAATATAAGGATTTAAAAAAATAAAAAATCAGTTTTAAGGTCTGTAGCTGCTTGTGAGATGCTGAATAGAAAAGTTCTTTTGCTATTTCCATTAGAAGTAGTAATGATATTGCATTAAACATCGTCTGAGAAATTTTAAGAGATAGAAAAATGTGTGCCATTAAACATATACAATGTAAAGACAAAAAAAACTCTCTGTCGTGGCTGCACTAACAATCAAGATACAAAAAACTGACACACGTGTGAACTTTCTTCACAGATATTCTGTGAGGAAAGAAAGGTCCTAGTTTTACAGCATGTGCAGTATGGAAGGAAGCTCGTAAAAAAGGAAAAGACAAGCAATCCTTTATGTTCATGTGAATACGAGAACAAGATTACACAGCCCTGGTCCTCCTGAGGCGTCCTGTGGTGTCTGGCGCTGAGATGTTTCCACCTAAATGCCAAAGTTTGGAGCATGAGTTTGAATCACAGTTTGAACACTGAGCTTCTGATGGTTTTTGGCTCGTTATTTTATGGTTTTGACCCCATGTGGT